AGTTAGAGTGGTTGCTTCAAACTGAGAAACATAATTAAAATCCTTATCAAAGTGTTTCTCTGATACTGAGTCAATGTTCGGAAGGAAGATTCAGACTTTATTTGATAGTATGTATCCACAAAGAAGAAGACAAGATCATAAACACAAGCCGAGAAGAAATGAACGTCAGGTTACTAATGGGTTACCAGTGTATGTAAGAAACTTCCGACGATGGAGTTATTTATTCTCTGAGGAAGTGGCATACACTGAATCACGAAACGTCAGAAAATCTAGTTTTTCTACTCAATGGGATATTACAAATATATTAACTTATTTATACATTATAAATTGCCTGCAGCTAAACGTCTTAACTATTCTATTTCAAAAGTTGGTAGCTCAGTAGTATCATGTTTTCCGTAAGGCCTGACATTTCTGGCCAAGTATTATTGTTGAGTCCCACAAGAAGACAAAACACATATTCAATACGGCTTACATTTTAATGATTCTTCGCACGTATTTACATAAGTTTATGACGAAAACATTCTTAAAATAAATGATATACCTTTAGAAGTTGTGTAAATAACTTTAGTTGGGATGCTGATTCTTTTTAATAAGTATAAACCGAGGGATAACCTCTCACCTTATTTGTACTACTCAGGTTGTATATTATAATTGAATAAGTGTTAACAATCAAACAATTTTTTGTCCGATTCCCTATACACAAATCTGCTTTTATCAACGGATATCATGTAAATCAATATCCGAAAGACTTTGAAATATCCCAAGGTCATCAGATTTTACTACATCACTTCTGGCTCATTGATATGCTTGGTAAAAACACGTGTTAATTCAAACCATATTTCCAAGTGCTCATTTGCATATATCGATACTGATCAGTTAACTAAGGTGAACCATTTAAGATCCAATATTCCTGATAAACTGAAATCAGTTGAAATGATACTTATTGTAATGAAAGCCTCAACACCGACTTCTTAATCACTTCCTAGTCCCCAGAAATCTTCTATTTTTGAACCCGGGCAAAGAAGGATAGAAATATGGAAGAAGCATTGCTTTGAAGGTAGGATAGAATTATATTCGACTACGAGACAGTAAACGCTTATGGGAAACTTACTAAAGTTGTTATAAATTCGGTTGTTGGTAATCAAGATAATAAATACATGATCCATTGTTTTCTAGAATTCTCATGGGAATTTCTAAAAAGTGCTGATTGATTAAATTATTATCGAGATTTGCCTATATTCTGAGGATTTTATGAAGGAATATTCAAGGGTTTCAAATATGGAAGATCACTGAACATCAATAATCACCAAACAGCTAAATTAATAACATTTAAGACGTCTCTACGGTTCATGCTCATGATTTCCTGTGTTTATACAGTACTATCTAGCATGTATTCTTTAAAATGATCCTGAAACTATAATTGCTTCACTTTGGAATTTATTACATAAAAACATTTGATAATCAAAAATACACAAGATTTTTACATCATAATCTGAAAATATACTACTAATTGGATATTTCTAAAAACGTATAACAACCCCCTTTCCCATTAAAATAACCTTGAAAAACAGATTTTTTTACATATATTAAAGTGCTTCGATTCAACCCATTTTACACTTTTCGATAACACTATTTACATACGTACACACACATAAACGTAAATGAAAAATCGATAGAAAGGAAGATATTCGCAAAATTAAAAATGAATATGAAATGATTAAACTGATGAAGATAAGGAAGAATAGACCAAACAGATTATTCAACATTTTCATAATGAAATAAAAACAGATACACACTGATGCGACTGCAATGAATTTTGATTAAATTATTCGATTAGTAACTGTAATTTAATCTTGTAAAAATTTGAAAAAAAAAACAGAACAACGATTCCTATTTCGAAAGTCCACTGGTCGGTCACAATCACAAACTGATGAATTCAGTTGAAGTTAGACCGATTTTCACATATGTAGGTTGTGCTGAGCACAGACCGATCTCAGTTTGAGTATCATTGAAAAATAGAGGACATTGAACAGCTGTTTTGAGTTATTATGGAACTCTCTAGCAATTTAACCTATCCACGGTTGTACACAAGGACTTCCGGTCTGACAGTGAGCTCTATTACATGCCAACTTGGTGAACCGAAAGTCGGTCTCTTGTTGATAGGCCTGAAAGTAGTGGGTTCAACCCCTAGCTGGATCATGCGTGCACACTGCTGAGGAATATCATACTACAGCGAAATACTTATGTAGCGCTTACTAACATTTTATGATATCCCAAATAAAAGCAACCAGCAAATTATATCGGACTCTGAAAACCCCCTCTAACTAACTTTTACGTATATCTAGTTTTAAAAGTAATTCAGGTTACTCTCAGTTTCACTTGTCATTTAAATAAGAATTATTTTTAACGACAAAGTGAATCTGTGTTTCACATTAGGGAGAAACTTTAGTTAGAAAAATATTAAAAAGTAGGAAGGACAGGAAAGCTACCTTGTCCTACTATGGAAACCAGTAGTAGGGAAAAATTACAATGCATCATCAAGGACTGAACACAGAACCTCACATTCTTGGTGCAAGCACATTTTAATATGACCTCACAGATAACACAGAATCAAAGAATAATGGGTAACTGTTAGTTCTCAGATTAACAGCTCACAGTGATAACACCTAGATAGATAGATAGATAGATAGATAGATAGATAGATAGATAGATAGATAGATAGATAGATAGATAGATAGATAGATAGATAGATAGATAGATAGATAGATAGATAGATAGATAGATAGATAGATAGATAGATAGATAGATAGATAGATAGATAGATAGATAGATAGATAGATAGATAGATAGATAGATAGATAGATAGATAGATAGATAGATAGATAGATAGATAGATAGATAGATAGATAGATAGATAGATAGATAGATAGATAGATAGATAGATAGATAGATAGATAGATAGATAGATAGATAGATAGATAGATAGATAGATAGATAGATAGATAGATAGATAGATAGATAGATAGATAGATAGATAGATAGATAGATAGATAGATAGATAGATAGATAGATAGATAGATAGATAGATAGATAGATAGATAGATAGATAGATAGATAGATAGATAGATAGATAGATAGATAGATAGATAGATAGATAGATAGATAGATAGATAGATAGATAGATAGATAGATAGATAGATAGATAGATAGATAGATAGATAGATAGATAGATAGATAGATAGATAGATAGATAGATAGATAGATAGATAGATAGATAGATAGATAGATAGATAGATAGATAGATAGATAGATAGATAGATAGATAGATAGATAGATAGATAGATAGATAGATAGATAGATAGATAGATAGATAGATAGATAGATAGATAGATAGATAGATAGATAGATAGATAGATAGATAATGTGGAATAACTAAAGTATCTGTCGATACTTAACGACCTGTTATAAATTAGTTTTATTGCATGCATCACGAGCTGACTTAAATGACATACATTCAATCCAGCGTTCAAGCATAATCGTGGTGACCATGAAACCCCACCCAATGCGGGCCCATGGATGAGTTACTATTACTCAGATGTCTTTAATTAGTTTGTCAGATGATCTCAGCATGTGAAGAAAAAGTCAAGAATGTGAAGTTTGACTGAACGGATGACTATGTGATTTCTAAAACGACCTGGAGAAACTCTTGATTACCTCCAGTCAATCAGTGCTTGTTCTGCCCTCGTATTTAATGCTATGCCTACACCCGTCAGTCCATTCGAACTAGCCATCTGATCGCCAGATGAACGAAGGGTGTATCTCGTCGGCTCCCCATTTTGGCGAGATGAGATTAAGTGAAAGACCACACTAGGATCCTGTATGCCTGTTTCGGAGACACAGCATACATCAATGGTATGAAATTGTAGGGTCTTAGCCAAGGAGAACCGCTGGCCGATTTGACATAGGGTACGTACGTTGAAGGCACCAACGTTTAGTCTGGAGAGAGGTTTCAGTAGACTTGGGACAATATTTCGCGCACTGGAATCGTTGGCCATGGTGATATTTGAAGAAGAAGTCAAAAGAGGAATTCTAGAGTTGAAAGTCAACGTAGGATAAATAACAGGTATTGAAGAAGGAGATTGATCATGAATTTAGTGATCTTGAGTGCTGTTGGAGGTATAAGGATGGTTATAACTGTTGGTATTTTATTGTTGGTGATATTAAGGACTGAATTTGATCAATATGAGCTGTCATATGTACTAAGTGAACCGTCTCAATGTTGCCAATTAGTAATAAGTTTTCAGTAATAATGAATAGTGGCCTTCAGTGGAATCCAGGATACGCGTTTCGTTCTGAACACGACTCGTCAGTTGGATGTGACTTTATCCAAGTCCTGATATTTTCACTGAAGTTCAAAACTGGTATCTTTCGCTTTAAACACCCAACTCGTTATCTACTGAGTCATTTTACATGAAACCCATGATAGTCATTCATTCTTTGGTCTTGCAAAATGAATTCGAAAGTATTTTTCTCCATGCTTATTGGCTCGTCCCATATATCAGAAGGAGTAAGCATATTGCGTGAATCTGCTTTTACACAATCTCTCACTGTATGCTGAAGCAACAGACGTTTTCTTACTGGTTTAAAGGAATGGGTCTCTAAATGAAGATATCTTCTACCAAGATAGTTATAGGGTGAATACAAACTGAAGTGACATTCCTCATTTCACATTAAAATTTAAAACTCATGAGTGTGATTGTGGTCGGCTTAACAATATCACATAGTTTCACTACAGCTCGATCTTCCAACATTTTAAACACATATACTACTAACATGATTTGTTCGTTTTCTCTAAAAAATAATCCTTGTTCAAACTGTGAAGAATAGATTTGATTGGTTGCTAAGTAATTTCGAATCAACTAACGGTTAATCAATCATATTATTAATTTGCAAATCTGCACATATATTGTGTGCTAAATTAAGGAATTAAGAAAAAGAGTTTTGGATAGAAACCTAAATTTACATGTTCCCTTTTTGTTGATTTTAAAGATTATTTATTCATTCACTTAAACATTTATACATTAAGTATCTGATGTATTTCTTCTTTGTCATTTCTACCTATGGTAGCTTGAATAATAAAACAAGCTTAAATAGTGGATCAATCAATTGTAGAAATTTTTCCGGTGAAATTCACAATATTTAAACAAGCCAATTCAAATTTTCTTTTGTGTTATCAGTTCCCTACTTAGCACACAAACGAAATAATCATGTCCATAAGAACACCTTATGAACGTTTACGTACATTTTGCTCACAGTTAGCAAAATATATTCCAGAAATTCAATTACAACCACCACATACAATTAAAAATTACGGAAATTGTCCATATTTTTATAAATTTCATCTTGGCACAAAGGACTTAGTTGAAAAGTTCAATGATGATATATTACCATCGTCTAATAATACTTATAGACTGTCAAATGTACCAAGAGAATCGATTGGCACACATTCAGATGAGATGAAATTACAAGATTTTCAGTGGTTAATGAATAAAAAGTTAACATGTGTTTTATTATGGCTTGGTGTAATCATTTTAATTGTTGGAGTAATCGCATTACAGATTGCTAGTTTTTTCTTACATAAACGACAGTAAGTTTTCCATGTTGTTAACTCTTATTATAACCATATGATATTTATCTACATTCTCAAAATGTATGATCACTATACAGAGAACAGGAAACATTTTTTTCATTCTTAGTAGTAGTAGTTTAGTAGCGAGCTAAAGTGTAACGCTCAGCCTTTGTAAGGTTTTAGTTTAGCCCAAAAAATACTTTATGTGCTAGGAGAGTGTTAGAAAAAAGGTGAGCCGACGACTAGATGAACGTGTAGTATGTACTTAAATTGAAGAAAAAAGCAACCGACAATAATCAGATATAACATAAGCGTGAGATTCGGACAATCTGTTAATCGAAACTAGAAGTTGATAGTGTAAGATTTCAAATGCGATACAACAATGATTCTTTAAATAACGTCGGTTGGTTTAAGCAGGTTATTAGCGATTTAGAAAACAGTCCTGTTAAATAAATTGTTGGTGGGAATAACAATAGTATTATCACGAAACATCAACAAATTTTACATGATTATTCAAACTTTTGACGTATTCTGCCAGTTGTTTTGCTTGGTATTCGAAAAAAAAGTGACATAAATTTTCATCTATTCGGCTATAGAGCGTTTGTAATTAGGATTAAGGATTTAGAGTTAGTGTCATTGAATTTCTTTTGTTTTCTCCGCAGTTATTTTAACTGGCTTGTTTTTGAGAGTGAGACTTCGAATCAAACGTTGCGTAATGAAAACCAAACAAAGACTGGTGTTGCACTTTTATTTAACTCCCAGATAAATCAAAATGATCGGGAACATACTCATTTATATATTGATTTTATTCACATTTGATGATTAGTCAACAACTATCATGCGTAGGGGGAAACAGACAGAATATTGATCATTTCTGAACTTAAACATAGATTCCTACATTCTAGCCCATAGAAACCTTCCTCTTTTAAACCTTGAACAGAAAGAGAATACGAGACTTTCAGAATAGCCTTATATTATGAACATAAGAACTGAAATGGAGCAACTCTGTTCATATAATTAACATCCATAAAATAAGCAAACTAAAAATTACAACAGCCAATTAGATAATCGAATGGTCATTGAGGTAATATGAGTTAGAAAAATGTTATCCATGTTATCTTTTGTAGAAAGGAACTGACATTTAGCAACAAGAAGCTAAACGCATGAATACAAGTACATTTAACATCTAAGACTTTCAGATCTAGCACCAAATATGAAATCTTGGGATAATCATTAATATTTTCCTGTATGTAAATCTCATGAACAGATGTAAAGATTCTATTCCTACTGTCTATTAATTTTTTCTATTGTCAAGCTAACTGTTTTCATCAGATACACCTGTCACTCAGCAAGACAACGTACAGATGAGAAATAAATAATCGTATTAATTAGTGATTTGTGTTGTATCTGTAGAAATCTGTTTAATACACTAATTCACTCAAATATTATCAATGCACATCTATATATGTAAATCATTTGCTTATTATAATGTACATCTCCCGTTTAAAAAAAACTGTGTTGTTACTTGTGTAGATTTCAATAGTAATCACAACGACACACCGAAAAAGGTATCCTACATATAAACAAATTGATATACAAGGTCACAAACAAAATGTAGTAATAAATAGTAACATTACGTACTTGTTAAATTACATACTACACTGGTTAATTTTTATGTGTAATAAACAAACGATTATATATAGCCCTGAAATGATTCTATGAATAGAATTCGATGTTAGCTTTTCAACCTGTTCAGTTTATTACAAAAATATTCTACAGTAAGAAAGTATTCGTTTTCGGATGTAATGAATGTACTTTTTCAGAAACATTGATTTAGTTGAATAGATTGTAGCTTATGGGAATGATAAATTGAATGAATTTACAGAATTAGAGAAATGAATGAGATTGACAATGTGGTTTATTAAATTTTAATTCAGTGATTAATCTTAAGATTCATAGGTAATGAGTTCGATGTTATGTGGAATCATTGGCGAGTACTAACGACAAGCCTCAATCATCGTTTTGTTTTATAGTCACTCTTAAACAGTTGACTACTCTCATTAGCTCACACATGCAAAAATATATTTCAAATCCGAATATATAATTCGGTGAGAGTATAATTTTTGGACAACCGTCGAGCGATGCTAAATTGATCATAAGAATATTTACCTACCTACTAGGGTCATAAGAGACTTAGAAGTGAGTCTAAGGAATCAGGATTAAGGTTTTGAGTTAGGGTTAGGATTTAAAATTAGGGTTGTCATCACGAAATGACATCAGCCATAAAGTTGAAATGCTAAGTAGTCTTATGGATGAAAGAATTTAGCTATGAAATTCAAGACCTGCTATCTTAAATCTCATTGGTTCATCCATAGATTATAGTCCCTTCAGAAGGCTCCTTAGGAAGTTTTAATACAAAAGGCTGAATTATAATCTGCAATAATTATGTAACTGGATTGATTCAGACAAAGATAAATAGACGGTGATCATGAGTAGGTGGAAAATTCAACTACTCGTTATAGTCTGCTTGCCTAGCTTACAATCTTCATGTGACTTTAAGATATTAAAACTTCCCATGTAGCGGATTAAAATATCATGTATAGGCGGCCAATATTGTTTTCAATTAGATCATCATCAGGCTTTACTCTCTTATTTAATAATACGACAAGATCCCTTCGCGGTTAGGAAAGGGTATAATAAAAACAACAAACAGCTGTTTTATCACACTTGATCAATAGCGGTCATAGAAATAGTTTATAAATACCAATTTATCGTATACATACTAGCTGATTTTATGGGGTTTGATTTCCTCTCTTACACATAGCAGAAGCTATAGGGATTTGTGCTAACAATCCAAGTCTTTGTGTTTATAAGAAATTCGTAACATTCTTGTCTCTTCCCTGGCCGAATTAACATTAATACACGATTTTATTCATTATTATTCTACTTGCTCCTTGTTCTTTTATTTTTCTTCACTCCCTTTTTTTCAAATACGTGCTTCATTGTTCGACTATCTGTTATTGTTCTAGACTGCTTACCGAGTGAGCGAACACGGGAAAACTGCATTATGAATCAATGGCTGTTAAGTGTTACTCTCGGCTGTTGTTTCACCATCGATGTGTCATTGTACCTATGTAAGTAATCTAGGCGAAATAACCGACACTTGGACTAGATCATACAACTGTTTATTTAAATATGGCTGGATTAAAAAAACACCAGCATTATATTACGAGAAATCTAGTCGCTGTCATACATAGGTCTTTACTATAGGTTACTTTTAACATGTTATCCCTTAACTGATTTTTAGTTTAATCCAATGTAGAAATCATTTATCCAAGTATAGGATTATGTACTCAGTCTCAATTTATACACTTATACTGTCAGTTTGTGCGCTATCCAAATTAGAAGGCAGAATGATATGGTTTGAACATCCAGCCTTTTAGTAACACATTAAACTTTGAGTCAATTAGCAACTGATTTGCAATGTAGAAACTACCCTCATCGATTAGTATTGGTTTGTAATTTCCTGTTGTCGATATTTAGGACTGCAATTGATCAGTTTCTGTTGTTATTTAGTATTCGGACTTGGTAGCTTGGTGGATAAAACGGCGTTTGAAGAAAAATGTACCGGGTTCGGGTCTTAAGTGTGAACATCAACACTGAAACGCATGTACATTCGGCTAACGAAGTTTTAAGACGAAATGAGATGCGCTTCTTGAATTCCATTGTAACTGCAGGTTGTATCAAAGCAATCACTTCATTGTACATATGCAGCAACATTAGTTAATCGTTTGCAGTCCTGAATATCAACAACAGAAAATTACAAACCTTTACAGCTTCAATGATTATTGTACACGTTTGGATAATTTCTTATCTGGACTTATTTATAAAATGAATGTAAAATGAAGTACGAATAATAATAATAATAATAATAATAATAATAATAATAACAGTAATAATAATAATAATAATGAATAAAATTCTAATTATCAACAGCTGTTATGACATATAAAGTCGTTAGACTTTACTTTGTTTACAAATATATAACGCGATCTTATTTACCTACTCATCTACTTATCAATATTAAATGAAAAAAATCAAAAGAAATGATCAAATTTATTTTAATATAAATGTTAAATGGTGTGTCACATGTGAACTCATTCCTTTCTCGTTAATAGTTAAATTGTTTCATTGAACAGACAAGATATAGCATGAAATACACTAGAGAAGGATTAAAATTGAAATGTAGAAAGCTAGCTGTTTACCCTGTTATGAAGCTCCTCAGTATTGTGCATGTACGAACCCACGAAGTATCGAATTCAAAGCCTACCGGAATTGTCCTTAACGATTACTACACTTGATTCATAATCAATGGTACATGAGTTTTACTCCAGCCTATTATCCAATATCACACTAGTAACGACTGTCTCACTCTCGACATGTTTGAAAACACCCGGCCACATCAAAATATTAAGATCACTATATGATAAGTTGTTTTGATTTCGAGTTATTAATTCTACTTTGTTTTATATTCCGAGTTTTTTAGACATTCACTGTTCCAATAGATTCGTCTTACTGATTTCGGTATTTTGATCTTCTTTATTTGATAAAATATCGATCAAGAATTTGATGGTTTAGGATAGATTGAGCTATTATCTATATTGATAGTTACTTCAGTGCTCAGTTCTTTCAAGAACAAAGAATATCAGAGAGAGAACAACTGTTTTCGATAACGTTCCCACCATACTCTACAGTTAAATATCTAAAATTATGATTGTTTTACAGAAGACAAAACACTAGATTTCAGTTTCTTAGAAAAAACTTTTTTGTTGGAAGTAAAAATACATTCTTCTTCTTCTTCTTCTTGTGCATCAAATGTGCATGAATTTCATAGCTTATTTTTAAGGATTTCAATTAATACCGCTTCATGACAAACTTCCAGTGTTAGTTATTGTTACTGTTTGCACATATTTTGTCTCTTTTGGAAGGTAAGGATAACCACTCTTTTTTGAGGCTCA